ATTTAAAGAATGTGAAGTTGTGATTTGCATCGTAGTGAGCGGTTGTCCACGATTCCTATTTTAATTAAAGTCACAAATGTTTCAAAAACATTTCTCAAGAATGTCGTACTGTTTCATTCTTCACCCAGTGCTTTACATATGTTTCAGTAAAAAAAATTCTGATTAAAAATAAATTCTAAATTAAATTGGGGTATGTGAATATAGTTATTTTTTGATAATTTATGGGACAGTATTATAATGAGGTTTTGGGAACTTTTAATACCTTATGGCTATAAAAAAGAATTTCAAGAATGAGTCATAACTATTTTGTAATATTGTTATATATTTCTAACCAATTTTAGTTTTATGTGATTAATTGTAATCGTAAACGATATTATTTGAAGATAATCTCTTAATTTTTAAAAAAAGTATGTGTAATAATAATAATAACAATATTTAAAAGAGGCGAAAAAGTACAGCACAAAATAGTAGCAAATTGGTACTAATCTCTTGTTTATGTACATCCTAAGCTATTTCATCGAATCACTTATTTTTGAAAGAAGGGATGAAAATAATTTATCTTTGTAGGTGATTAACAGTAATTAATAATAATAATAATAAATTATAAATGTTATATATATAAACAATTTTAAATATAATTGCAGTTTTGTACCATTCTAACAAATTCTACCTTACATAAAATTTTTCCACTGCATGCCTCCTTTTATTCCATAAATGACTATTAAAGCAACCGCTTATCACTCGTTATCATCATCAGTTATTGTCTATCACCGATATTGTTACCCACATCTTCTCTCTTAACCTTACTCTATTTGATGATTCATTCTTTTTATCTCTAACATAATCAATGTTCCATCTCATGTCACCAGACTTTACCTTATTAATAATCATTTGTAGTCCCATCCAGACGTCTCGTCTTACACTTATTCGGAAACTGTATTTGTTTCAAATTGTCTGTTAATCTTTGAGTCATGCCAGTGTTATTATTTTCTGAGCGTGCATTAATCAAATCTGCAAACATAATTTTGGAAGGCCTGTGTAGCTATTTATTTGTATTTGTCATTGACAAACATTTGACGAACCATTTTTGAAGCCTTATTCTCTATCGAAAATTAAAATGTCGAGAATGTCAAAACTATAATTATAGTCGAGCATTTTCAATTGTAACAACAAATGGTCTTTTTCTTATTAACTATCTAATCATTCATTACAATTTCTGTACTAGTGATTTACTCCATATGAAATTTCTACCAAAGGATAGATATCATTTCATTGATTGTAAATCACCTGCTTAGACGATCTTCAATTCCAATGCTACAAATATGACTGGTAATATTGGTCGACATTAGACGCTGTGAAATGAGTTAGATAATATATTCATTCTAACCTTTAAAATGGAAGAAAGGTAATGGAGAAAATGAACGGAAAGTTTCATACATACCTGCAAAGCAATGTAATAGTACTCGTTGTAGTACAAAAATTTCTCCTTGCAATGCTCTATTCTATCTATCGCTCCTAACATTTAGTGGTTGCAAGAAAAAGGAAATATGATAGTATCACTATTGTTAATCTTCATTCTATCTGGGTTAATTATTCCAATAGAATAGTACATTTATAATAACCAGTAGGATTTCACGCTATTGTCGTCGAACCTAACCGTAAGATATGTTTCAAGTAATACAAACTACGAGAAACCTACAAATATAACATGTTTTGGTCAACATCGTGAACTCCAGTCATAAACTCCAACCTCGAATGAAGGAATGTCCAAAAAAAAAATAGCTAGAAACTATAAACTGTTTGATTGTGAGCCAAATATGCTTATTCTATTTAATATAAAAGTTTAATTAGAAGATTATTTAGTAAGTAATCAGGAAATGCTGTCAAAAGTTACAAATTAACTAATTTTTCGCGAAGGAAAGAAATCACTTACGTTAACATTTGATAAATCAAAGATTTTTTTTGGTAAAACGTAAATTAATGAAGAACATTGCGTTTAAACTTCCATCACATCTACTAATCGCGTTTACAATTTCATAAATTTTTCATAAAGTCATATATAATTCCTCTCGGTATTAATTGTTTTCAGTAATCTTATTGCACACATTATGACGAACAATGGTGTTACTGATGACCAAACATCTTTGCTTACGATTTTTTGTTGCAATAATTGTTTTGGCAGGCGTAATTTATTACTTTGAATATATTAGGATCAGTATAAAAAACTTAACCAAATACACTGCTGCAACTGATTATCATTCTCATATCAGTGATGATAACTTCCACCTGGTAAGAACTATCGCATTTCAGACGTTCCATTTCTTTTTCATAGGCAGAAATAACATCCATTTATGGCTAAAAATTTTCCGATTGATTTTGTAGGGTGTCATGTAAGACAGGCAAACTGTCAGCTAGAAGCATTTAAACTTGTTTTCTTCAGGAAAAACAGGAACTGCAATATCTCAAACAATTCGACCACCTATTTTGGCTTCGTGATATCATTCCCAACAAATATGTTTTCGGTACCTACGATAATTCAGAAATTTCGGTAGCAATCGGAAACATCATTGTTTATCGAATGGTAAATTCGTCAAATGAAGATTATGTAAAATTTCAGCGAAATGAAGATCTCCGAGCTGCTTATGGGTACAGTTTTAACAATTTGCTTCATATTTTTTGAAGGAATTGAAAGCTGTCGTTTGTCGTTTCAAATAAATTTTTAGTGTTTAAAATACAGGTAGAAATATTACTAAATACTTAAGAACTGATTACTGATATGTGAAAAAATTAGTAAAAAAGACTAAGGACATTGTTATAGTTCTTGAAGATATAAGAATTTATATAAATCATTTAGATACACTAGATTTTCATGATTTCTATGAACACTGAGAGAATGGTTAAAGTAAATAATTTTTGTAATTTTAAAAGAACACGAACTGAACAAGTTATTTTCAGCTTATACGCAATTAAGAAATATGTGTTCGAGCGAGAAACATGGATACCAGCGAACAAAGAAGAATTCCTTCGAAAGTGGGACAATGGAAGATTCCTTGATTGCATTAGGTTGAATATTTCGAATAACTGGAATAAATCAGTCATTCCTGATGGTTATGTCAACAATATGGCTGAATTTCGGGATTTTCTCGAATCTTACGCATCGACACCATTTCTTTTCGGCGGCACTCTTCTTGGTTTTTTAAAAATTCGTTTCTAAATGTTTTTGAGAGTAGGTTAAATTTCATTTTTTTATTTTGATTCCAGTGACAGATGCGTTGCCACATTTAAATTCAATTATTATGAAATCACAAAATAAAGTTTTCTTCCAAAATTGAATTGAAAATTTATTTTTTAATTCATTCTATCTTCCATTGCCATCAAACATCATATAAAAACTTCCAGCAAGTGATAAGCTTAGAAGAATAATTATGCTTCCAGTGTTATCTTGACATACTTCCTATGTTAGCTTACTTATTCTAAAGATGATAATGTTAATAAAAATGAACCAAAAAATTTAGAATTTATGTACTTTAGTACAAAACAATTCATTCAGGTTGGTACAGAGAATGTTCGTTTATCAAAGATACGACGGATGTTGATATGGCGATGAAAATTACTTCCCTTGATCTAAAGATGTTGAAAAATATGGAGAAGTCGAGTGATTTTAAGCTTTTTTGGATCCTCGGAAAAGTTTGATTTGCCTTGCATAATTAAACAAAATTGTATTTATTATGATTGAAAGAATAACGACTATTATTTATTCATCAATTACTTACTGATTAACTATTTTATTTAATTGTAATCATATATTTAGGTCAGCGATTCATTAGAACTGAGCGTTTATTCGGGAAGCATCAAAATAGATTTATTTTTTCTGTACGAAAGCAAGGATTCTGCTTGGGTGGGTGGAATGATAGTTAGCAAAAGGAAGAAATTCCGCTGGATTTATCCACCCATTTCGCAGATTTGCACAGGAGATCTACTGGGAAGGTTATTTCATGTGCCCTGCAATGTTGAGAAAATACTAAAGGTATATTTGCAAATTTTTTCTTACATGCAGAGTGAAAAAAAAAAAAATTTTTTTTTGTTACATAAACTAGGGAGAGAGTAGATAGAAAATCCAGGAATCATCATCTGTTCGTTTTGAAAAATCAACTAGATTCACTTTTCATTGCAGTTGATTTTGAATCTATTTTGAAGCTTAGTTTCTTATTCTTATTTTTTGAATTTTCATGGTTTTTTAACCCATGAACTGTAGCATGAAAAATATAATCGAAAATAGATAAACCTATGAAAGATTCTATCAAGTTTAGGCGGATTACGGTAATTGGCGAGTACCTCATCCAACAGCAAATTTCACGTGGTACCAGTCTCATAAAAATGTCAAAGAAGCTGGCTATTGGAGCGAGAGTGAATGGAATGATACCTACAAAGTATTCTGAAAGGATTTCAACAAATAGCTCGATTTATATTTTTACAAGAATTTACTTTCAAGAAATATAACGTTGAAAGAATAACGTTGAAACGTTGAAAGAATAATCTAAATAATTCATGCAAAATGTAATAAATTGTTTGCTAACGTTGCAAATTATTGTAAATTTCAAGCTTTTTGTCGTTGATAGCGATAAATACAACTCAATCTCTTCTAAACTCAATAGCTGATGTCACGTGTCTTGCAAATGTTTATCATATATATCGCTCAGATCGAAGTTAGCATATTTTCAGATAACTTGTCTCTAATTCATGTTTACTAATAGAAGACAGTTTCCAAGTTTCATGGATTGCTTAGTTCTAGTTCGGCTTACAAATAAAAATCAGTTTTCTAAAGTAAATTTCAGTTTTTCGCTTCATTATATTCATATTCATTCTTCACTAAATTTGCTTTCTCCTAAATGCATTTACTTTTTGATAGCTCCACGATATTGCAGTATTGAGTAACGTGAAAGATCGACATGAGCAAGAAAAGGATAATTTTTCCGAAATGAAAAAAATTTATAGAACTTATGCACCGTACTGAAATCAATGTCAATGTCCGTCTTGGTGTGTCATCCTTTCTCAGTCTTCACATGTCTAATATATCATTACATATGTTCGGTGTAAGACCGGACGATGAACTTCAATCTCCCAGTCACGCTATACTGATTGAACCCAAGCACTGTTATGACTCTAATGACCAGGCTACTGCTCCAGAAACTACGCTAGCTACCTACTGGGTTTACATTATGGATGCGACTAGTACATAAATCATTTTCGTATGCAAAAATCGTTTTCCGTTGCATTACCGTGAATTATGTGGAATATATAAATTTATATTTTATCGTCAAGCATTTTTCTTCATGTTACTTCTTTTTCTCTGAAAGTTATAAAATGTGAGGGATGACATTTTTAATACCTGATATTTTGTAAACAGTCCAAAAGATTTTAAAAATAAACATTCAACAAGAAATTCAATTCTTCCGTAAAACGTCGGTTGTTTGGAATTACGAAATCTGTGGAATTTCTCTCATATGTTTCCGCTCCCTATATATTTTATTAGTTGTAAGAGGGATGAGCCTCCTTTTGCGTGAGCATGCGACAAATAACTGTCACTCGGAAAATAAAATGTGGAATTATCTAGGACGTGGAAATAACGGTTTTTTCCCCGTATGAACGAAAATTTACGATTTGAATCAATCGATACTCGAAGTAAGTACAACAGTTATAAGAAAATGAAAAAGTCGAAAGGAAATAAAAAAAGAATAACTGGAGAATGGAATGGTAGATTCACATCTCAAGCGAATTCCACGAAAGGAATATATCACGGCTGCATGTTTTTTCCGAATAATCTGAAATGCAGCTTGTAGGCGGGAGAGAAAGAGGACAAAGAATAAAGCATAAGAAATATTGATGAATTGAACTTCATGAGTTATAAGTAAGGAAGAAATTAGATGAGTTATCATTTAGTTGGTGAAGAAGTGGTCGGAAATTTAGCCAATTTATGTAAATTTCGCTATCAGTTCTTAACAAGATGTTACCGATAAATCTTGTTGTCGTGCTATTTCTTCGGTAGTAACGTAATACGGAAGATTTATTCGACATATTTTCATCGCTGCGTTATGTGTGACGTTTTTTGTTCTATCAGTATGAGCAGTTAAATCGAGGAGACGTTTGCTGGAAGGTTATTCATATTCAGTCACAACTGTTTTCAGCATGGCTAATTTCTCCTACAGTCATGTGTTATGAGCATCTGTAGTACATATAAGAATGGATTCTGCACACTTTCTCAATGCTTATCGTTCTCGTCTCGCTAATTAATCAGGCTGATTGCTCGCTGCACTTCGATGGAGCCAAGAAATATTTGCAGGCCGTGGAAGAAGAATACACTGATAGAAGTGAAAGTTACGTACCAATTCCATCATTCCAGTTCCATGGAGAGGGAGAGAGAAAAAAAACAAGAAGGAGGGCGAGACAGCAAATGAGTTCGTTGTTAGGTCTAGTCACAAGGTCTGTGACCTTCCAAGAAAACAAGCTGGAATAAAAGTAGCATAGATTCGTAGGTGGTGGAAACGTTGACATTTGAGAAATACTTTCCGGTCGGGAGTGGGGAAAGTATATAAAGAGAGTGGTACATTATGCGATGAGACTGAAAATAAATCCATGAGAGATGACTGTCGGGGATAGAGAGAGAAGAATGAGAGATTGGGTATTGTGAAAAGGAGTGAAGTGTTCTTTATTCTCAAAAAGAGAGAAGGAGAGGAAGAAAGAAAAATAAGTTTAATTTTAACTAGAGGGATTGTGTGAACTGATGGAACGGGGCTAGTTCGTTGTCCTTTGCAGATGTGATGTACTGCTGATGGCCGTCGTCTTCCCGATAACAAGAAATGGACAGAACAATCGCTAGGTAGCTATCGTTGTGCGAGACAGATGATGTGGTTCTAGTGCTACATGCTAGTTCAATAGTTTCAGTAGTACATCGTAATTGTCATTCGTATTTACAGCAATGATGGACGGACCTGAAAGTGTTGTTACTCTGCGCAGCCTAATTGAGAACGAGATTCCTGATGCTAGAGCGAATCTGGAAAGTAGTTGTTCAAATTTAGAACGGGTCGCTGCTTACTGTGAAGCGAATTATGCTCAGGTACGCTTAGTTTTATATGTAATAATACATTTAATATCCTTCATTTTGATTTCTTGTCGGACAAGTTTAATTGTTTCAGAGCAAAATATTTAACAATTAGATCAAGTGTTCACACAATTTGAAGCACATATGTTAAAGAGTGGTGAGAGTGACTTGCAGTGGCTCTTCTGCAGTAATAAATAGCGGATTATATCGTTGTTGTTTTGGACAGGATCTTTCAAAAACTAGTTGATTTTTTACATTTCAGTGGTCAAGTAATAAGCAAGCTTGAAAGGAATTAGAAGGGTCGTGATATGTTTTTTTTAGGCACAAGATAAAAAAGTGGCGTTTGACGAAACGAGACGATATGTAGTTCAAAGTCTTGCTAGTGTAGCATATCAAGTGAATACTTTAGCTTATGCTCTGCTACATGCACTCGATTTGCAGAATGATAAAGTCAATAACATGGCATCGCAGGTATGTTTTTCTTTCTTCATAATTTTAAATGTCCATAAAATTCAATGTTATTCGAATATTTGATGTAAGGTAAACTCTATTTCTCTTATCTGGACTTGAGTTAAATAGTAATTGCTAATTGGAAAGTAACAATTCAAATATAAAAGACAAAGGTTATTTTTTTTTCCTGGAAAATAATTTCAACTTTGGTGTAAAAAGCTGCCGGAATTCTGAAGAAGTCGTTTATTGTCATACAGAGTATTTTTAAACTCGATATCTAACATTTTAGATTCATAGTGTAGGAGAAATCATTGCAATTCATAAAGAAAAAGTGGCGAGACGTGAAATCGGAGTATTAACAATAAACAAATGTGTCCAGAGGCAACATAAAGTTATTGCAGTTGGAGTTCAGGTATTTAGTTATTTAAGCCTCATCTCGTGAATTATTGATTTTCCCTTTTTTCAGTGTTTACTGAGACAAAACTTTTTTTTTTTTGCACTTGTTTAAGGAGCCTCTTCAACGTTACCAGCGTACTCCAATTGATTATTCGGTACTGGATGATTTGGGACATGGTGTCAAAACTCCTGAGCTAGCGAATCGGTTAGTAACACGTGTAGCCTCGACTCTATCGCATGGAAACACTAGTGCACATTATCCAGTTTTCCCTAATTTTGAACAGCTGCTGCCTAAAGCAAATATCACTGCAACGGTATTTTTTCCACTTTTTCAGAATATCGGAACTGTATATGATGTTCTTACTGCTGAAGTGGTTAGCAAATTTATCTTATAGCTATTCTGACAGACGCCGTCTTGTAAAGAGGCACCTGGGCGATCTTTTATTTTTGAAGTCTGTAGGTGACAGCACTCGTGAATGAAGTTCTGCGCTAGTAATGCCTCGAAATGAAGCTTTGCTGCTTCATGGTCAATATCAAATTAGTCTACAGGAAGGTTTTTCCATATGTTTCAGTATATGAAATTTTGTGGGGTGTAATGTAATTAATAAAGATTAACTCAATGTGGAGCTGGCTAATCAGCACTCATTTTAGCTTTCCCGCTCATCGACAACTCGTGGAGATCACTATCGTACGCCACAAATGGCTAGTACTCCAGTCGTCGATCCTCAAAGATTTTCAACTCTTACACACGGAAGCCAGAACCAGAGTTGTAATAGCACTCTAAATGCCCGGAATTATGATGCTGTAAGCAGGAAAAGAGATTCGCAACAATCCATGCCTCTTCCCCCTCCTCAGTTAGCGTCGGTAGCCCAGTACAGGTTATCAACGAATAGCTTAGGTAGTTTTTAATCCTGATGTGCTTGAAAAGTGAATGTTTAATAGTTTTTGCCATTTGATTGTACTTCATATACTTCATTACCTTCTATATTTTTATTACAGATGGACTTCCACCACCACCCAGTTCTGTGATGATAGATGATGAACCACTTCCACCTCCTCCTATGCCAACTACAATGACACCAATTTATGAGCCAGTATCATCGAAAAACCATTCTGTATCAACTAACGACCACCGCTCACCATTTCTTTTAGGATCTCCATTTGATCGTTCATATGATTGGATTCCAAAAGCTTATATCGAAAAGGGTGTGCAATTTTATCAATTCACAACTATGATTAAAGAAACCTTGATTTGATCGGTTGAAATGTTGAAGGGACAACTATTCATTTTTCTCCTTTAAAGTGAAACAATTATTTTAATATAATATTAATACAGACAAATTTTAATAAGGCAAAAAGCTCGAATTAAATATTTATCAGTATAACGAAACTAATTTTCAGCAGTTGCGTTATATGATTATGAAGCAGAAAAACCGGACGAATTAACTCTTAGAGAAAACTGCATTGTTTACGTTTTGCGGAAAAATGAAGATGGTTGGTACGAGGGTGTACTTAATGGATGTACTGGACTGTTTCCTGGAAATTACGTTCAGACAACTAATTGATTTTTTTCATCTATTCCTCATCCCTTTTCTTCCTTTCACAGAAATATATCCAATTCTGATTTGCATTTTTAGATATGATTACTTCTGTTTTGGAGGTGTTACTATATGTGATGATCAGTTCCATTTAAAGCGTGCTTAAAATTTATATGTCTATTGAGGATGGATGTCCGAATTCTTAACATATTTTATTGTAACTTGTGCACGTTGCTACCAAGATTCCGTTGCTTTATCATTTATATTGACTGATAGTCATTCATATGAGATTCAATCAGTGACGTCATTCGCAAGGTTCTAACCGGAGGAATCTGAATATACAGCTGTGTCTTGAACAATTTTTCATCCTGTAATTGTGCATAAACGTTTAAAACATTAAAGTCAAATTTTTCATGCAAATAAAGTTTTTCATTGCTAATCTTGATGGTATGAAATAAGAGTAATATTCACCGGGTGTCTTATATAATTGTTGAATTGATTTCTTATTAATGTTAGAATATTGATTATATGAGTTACAGGAGAGGAAGATTACGGAAGTGCTTTGTTAGGATTTCGTGAGATTAGAATAAGCAAGGTGGATATCACTATCGTTTGAGGAAGTGAGGTACATTTGAACTTTCTACATAATTCAGATGTATGAGCTCTCAGTTTTCATCAGTTGCTGGCATGGGTCTTTGGGAATACACTTTTAAGAACTGAAGTTTGGTGCTTATCTTGCTAAGCACGCTGTTTATAA